CGCCCACAGGCGCCATGACAGTTCCAAGGCCGACCAGAAGGATCCAAAAGTGGGCGGTGGCCCAATTCCCGGAAATCCCCGCCCCTTCCTGAAATAGCTGGAATACTCCTCCCACTCATTAGCCTATGAAATTACCCACCCCTATAAAAGCTGACAGCCCCAGACCCTGGTGCCTTTCTCGCTTTCTGAGGTGGCCCGCTCTGTCTGTGGAGTGCGCTTCTCTCTAAATAAATCCACTTCTTACCTACCACTTTCTCTGTCACTGAATTCTTTCTGCAACGAGACATCAAGAACCTGAGCTTCATTAGGTTCTAAAACCAGGTGTGTGATCTCATTTGGAAGACTGTGGGTTTTGGCCGGGTTTGAGTCCCAGCATGTGGGTTCAAGTCCCAATCTGAGGTGCATCGTTTCAAACTCACTTGCAGAGTTAGCTGTTAGTATTGCCATTATCATCACACTCAACGCACTCTGCCTCCTCTGGTCCAGGAAAGTGTCTGTCCCACTCACTGGGGGCCAGGAGGCCAGCTTGTTGAGGGGACCATGCTCCCAAAGGTCTGGGGAAGCCCCTCCAGGCCTAAATATCTATCTGTACAACCACCTTCTAGGGCCCTCAGCTTTCCCACCCAAGCCTCTTCCTCACTCCCTCCCGGCCCGGAGGCCTGGCTCAGCAAGTAGGTCCAGGTCGGTCACGGCCACAGGGCTGGCCTTAGCTCTGGGGCCTTAGCTCCCCGCCTTCAGGCTCCAGCATCCCCTGCTGAGAAGCGCCAGCCCTCCCACGGCTAGCTGTTCTCGCCTCGCCTCTGGCCTGCCCGCGGCCCCTTCCTCACCCTCTGCCCTTGTCCAGTCACCTCCCATCCCCTGCACTGAAAAGTTTTCCTAGAATTTTGCAATTAGAAAATCACTGATGTCGGACTTCCCTGGTGGCACAGTGGTTAAGAATCCGCCTGCCAATGCAGGGGACGCGGGTTTGAGCCCTGGTCCGGGAAGATCCTGTGTGCCGCGGAGCAACTAAACCCGTGCGCCACATTTACCGAGCCTGTGCACCTAGAGCCCATGCTCCACAACAAGAGAAGCCACCACAGTGAGAAGCCCACGCGCAGCAACGAAGACCCAATGCAGCCAAAAAGTAAAAATTGAAAAAAAACAAAAATCACTGATGTAGCTGAGAGCTGGGTGTCCTGATGAGCAGGAACCAGGGGTGTAAACTTTGAGGAGAACTACTTGGAGAAAAGCAGGAAAATAGCTAGAAAGGGATGAGTTTTGGGAAACATGAGGTTTTGTCTTGCTTTGCTTTATTTCGTTTTAATAGGAGAGACTTAAGATTTTGTTTCCTAAGGAAGGAAGAAATAAAGACACGGAAAGAAGGGATGCTGAAGAGGAGCTCCAACAAATGGGCTCTGAGAGCACGTCGGCGCGCAGCTGGGGCAGGAAAGAGACAGCCCTTCATCTGAGAGTCACTCAGCAACCACGGGGCAGCACCCGCAGTGAGGGCTGGGGGGTGGGTCACAGGGAGCACAGGGCCCTATGGTCCCCACACGCACAGAGCCTGTGGTCTGGGAATGGACACACCGTCAGGCGTGAGGACCTGGGAACTCTCTCCATACATCCGTCTCTGTGGTATTTTTCACGGCTTCTGCGTCAGGACAGATGTACGCTGCCCCCCGCCCCGCCCCCATCAGACTGCCAGCCGCTTCCTGGGGCAGGAGCCAACCCTCTCCTCACTTCCACTCTCCTGCTGGGGTGCCAGCGCCCACAGGGGCCCAGGACGGGGCAGCGCCTTCTTTGGCTGCCCTTCCCTAACCTGTTTAGACTCTGCTGGGTCTTCCACGCCCAGGACACTGGAGAGACTGGCTGTCTGCTGCTGGGCATGGGAGCCACCTGGATTGCTGGACTGATGGACCCTTGTGATGAGAACTCAGACTTTAGCCTCTCGACAGCTTTCTCATATAACTTACAGCCGTGTTCGTTATATTGATCATGCTGTACATTACAGCCCTAGTGCTTAGTATCTTACAACTGGGAGTTTGTACCCTTTGACTCTTTTCATCCAACTCCCCCCTCCTCTGGTGACCACAAATCTGATCTCTTTTTTCTATGAGTTTGTTTGGTTGTCTGTAATTGACCTACAACACTGTGTTAGTTCCTGTTCACAACATAGTGATTGAATACTCTTTTTTTAAGCATTATTTTATTATTATTTTTTTTAAGTTAATTTATTTTTGGCTGCATTGGGTCTTCGTTGCTGGGCACGGGCTTTCTCTAGTTGTGGCGAGCGGGGGCTACTCTTCGTTGCCGTGTGCGGACTTCTCATTGAGGTGGCCTCTCGTTGCAGAGCACGGGCTCCAGGCGCGTGGGCTTCAGTAGTTGCAGCACGCAGGCTTCAGTAGTTGTGGCTCATGGGCTTAGTTGCTCTGCGGCACGTGGGATCTTCCCGGATCAGGGCTCGAACCCGTGTCCCCTACATTGGCAGGTGGATTCTTAACCACTGCGCCACCAGGGAAGTCCTGACTCAGTATTTCTATACGTTCCAAGATGATCACCACGGTAAGTCTAGTTACATCTGTTACCATACAAAGATATTACATAGCTATTGACTATATTTCTCACACCATATTCCTCATCCCTGTGACTCTATTTTGTAACTGGAAGTTTGTGCCTCCTAATCTCCCTCACCTATTTCTTTCCTCTCCCCAAGCCCCCTCCCCTCTGGCAACCACCTGTTTGTCCTCTGTATCTCTAACTCTGTTTTTGTTTTATGTTTGTTCATTTGTTTTGTTTTTTTAGATTCCACATATGGGATATCATACAGTATTTGTCTTCCTCTGACTTATTTAACTTAGGATAATACCCTCCAGGTCCAGCCATGTTGTTGTAAGTGGCAAAATTCCATTCTTTTTTATGGCTGAGCAGTATTCTATTGTAGGAATACACCACATCTTCTATATCCATTCATCTGTCATTGGACACTTAGGTTGCTTCCATATCTTGGCTGTTGTGAATAATGCTGCAATGAACATAAGGATGCATAAATCTTTTCAAATTAGTGTTTTCATTTTCTTCAGGTAAATACCCAGGAATGGAATTGCTGAATCATATGGTAGTTCTATTTTTTATTTTTTGGAATCTCCATACTCTTTTCTACAGTGGCCGCACCAATTTTCATTCCCACCAACAGTGTACAAGTGTTCCCTTTTCTCCACACCCTCACCAACGAATTTGTTATTTGTTGTATTTTTGACGACAGTCATTCTGACAGGTATGAGGTGACATCTCACTGTGGTTTTGAATTGTATTTCTCTGATGATTAATGATGTTGAGCACCTTTTCATGTACCTATTGGCCATCTGTATGTCTTCTTTGGAAAAATGTCTATTCAGGTCCTCTACCCTTTTTCTCCCACTGCCGCGGCCTCCCGCTCCGCGGAGCACAGGCTCCGGACGCGCAGGCTCAGCGGCCACGGCTCACGGGCCCAGCCGCTCTGCGGCATGTGGGATCCTCCCGAACCGGGGCACGAACCAGCGTCCCCTGCATCAGCAGGCGGACTCCTAACCACTGCGCCACCAGGGAAGCCCATCTCTGCCCATTTTTTTAATCTATTTTTTTTTTATGTTGAGTTGTATGAGCTCTTTGTATATTTTGGATTTTGACCCTTATCAGATATATCATTTGCAAATACCTTCTCCCACTCAGTAGGCAAAGCAAGCTGGATTTAGAATGCCTCTGCCACTTACTGGCTCTATTACCTTGAACAAACCCTTTAACAACCTTGAGTCCTAGAAATCTCTGTCTGTAAAATGGACTGATACCACCAGTGAGCTTAGTTTCGCTCGTGGGATTCCGGGGAGCCCTAAATGAGGGGCCTGAGTGCCCTGAAGGATGCACACAGAGGGGCTAAGAGAAGCTTTGAATTTTCTCCACAGCTTGGTCCCCTGCATGTTCCTGGTCAGGGAGCCCCTGGAGCAGGGGCACAGCTAGGAATACTTCGTACAAATTTGCAAGGAGACTGATGACCCCCTATGGAAGTGGGGGGCAGGGCCTCCCTATGCTCTCTGGCTACTGCAGTATGTCTGCGGGGCTGCTTTGTGAAGAAAGGGGTTTTCAACTGTCAAGGGTGTCGGACTGGATGGTCCCCAGGTGGCCCCAGCTGCCTACCATCCGGACTGGTGAGGCCATAGGCTGGCGCATGCCAGGGCTGTCCACTCGGAGGGGGAAGGGGCCACTCAGGGAGCCAGCGCAGCTGGCAGGGTCCAGGCCTGTGGGCTCGGCGGGGACAAAGCTGCTCTGAGCTGCCTCTCAATGGGCGCCTGTGTTCTGGTGGGGGCGGGGTGACCCCCGCCTCCTCGCTCTACTCCCGCCGCCGCAGGATGTCCCGGGCTGGACTGGGGCAGAGGAGGTCCGCACAGGGAAGGTCAGGGCTGGCCGCTGCGCCTGAGCACTCGGAGGTGGCACCAGGATCCGGGCTTCTGGGGGCCGGGACGCCGATTGGGCCGAGGCAGGGGGCGGGCCCGGCCGGCCGCAGCGCCCAGCAGCCACTGGTCCCGGGGGGGGAGGGGGAGACTTGGAAGGAGGAGCCCGCTCGGGGCGTGTCCTGGGCGTGTCCTGGGCGGAGCCCGGACGGGCGGGGCGCGGGGGCAGGGTCAGCGCAGACCGGCCGAGCCCCGCCCA